ATATATATATATATATATATATATATATATATATATATAGGTCTTGTTTTGTATCCATTCAGCCAGTCTGTATTTTTTGTTTGGGGCATTTAATCCATTTACATTCAAGGTTATTATCAATATGTATGTTTCTATTACCAGTTTCTTAATTCTTTTGGGTTTGTTTGTTTAATTTATTTAATTTATGTATCTTTGGCTGCACTGGGTCTTCTTTGTTGTGTGCGGGCTTTCTCTAGTTGCAGCAACTTCTTCATCATGGTACACGGGCTTCTCATTGTGGTGGCTTCTCTTGTTGCAGAGCATGGGCTCTAGGCATGCGGACTTTAGTTGTTGTTGTGCACAGGCTCAGTAGTTATGGCACACAGGCTTAGTTGCTCCATGGCATGTGGGATCTTCCCAGACCAGGGCTCAAACCTGTGTCCCCTACATTGGCAGGCAGATTCTTAACCACTGCGCCACCAAGGAAGTCCATTTGGGTGTGTTTTTGTGGGTCTTTTTATTCTCTTGTGTTTCCTGCTTAGAGAAGTTTCTTTAGCATTTGTTGTAAAGCTGGTTTGGTGGTGCTGAATTCTCTTGGCTTTTGCTTGTCTGAAAAGCTTTTGATTTCCCCATCGAATCTGAATGAGTTCCTTGCTGGGTAGAGTAATCTTGGTTGTAGGTTTTTCTCTTTCATCACTTTAAGTTTATCCTGCCACTCCCTTCTGGCCTGCAGAGTTTCTGCTGAAAAATCAGTTGATAACGTTATGGGGATTCCATTGTATGTTATTTTTTGTTTTTCCCTTGCTGCTTTGAATACTTTTCCTTTGAATTTAATTTTTGTTAGTTTGATTAATATGTGCCTTGGTGTGTTTTTCCTAGGGTTTATCCTGTATGGGACTCCGTGCTTCCTGGACTTGGGTGACTATTTCCTTTCCCATGTTAAGGAGTGTATATATACATTCTTTTTCCTACTCTTTTCTATTATGGTTTATCACAGGACATTGTCACTGCTGTACATTGAATATAGTTCCCTGTGCTCTATAGTAAGACCTGTTGTTTATCCATTCTATGTATTATAGTCTGCATCTGCTAATCCCAAACTCCCAGTCCAGCCCTTCCCCATCCCCTCTCCCCCTTGGCAACCACAGGTCTGTTCTCTATGTCTGCGAGTCTGTTTCTGGTTTGTAGGTAAGTACATCTGTGTCCTGTTTTAGATTCAACATATGAGTGACATCATATGGTATTTGTCTTTCTCTTTCAGACTTACTTCACTTAGTATGAGAATCTCTAGGTCCATCCATGTTGCTGCAAATGGCATTATTTCATTCTTTTTTATGGTCAAGTAGTATTCTATTGTATATGTGTACCACATCTTTATCGGCTCATCTGTCAATGGAAGATGCAGTAATAGTACAGAGACCTCTCGTGTGCTTTTTCCCCAGCTTCCCCCAGCGGTAACATCTTATGTAGCTGCAGTGTGGTGTTAAAACCAGGAGACTGGCTTTGGTACAATACAAAGGCCTTATTCAGATTTCACCATTTTCTCATGCACACATTTGTGTGTGTGTGTGTGTGTGTGTGTATTTACATGTGTGTGGAGTCCTGTGCCATTTTACCATGTGAGTAGGTTTTTGCACCTGCCAACAAAATCAGGTCACACTGCTGTTTTTTGTTTGTTTTTAATTTTTATTTATTTGGTTGCATTGGGTCTTTGTTGCTGCGTGTAGGCTTTCTCTAGTTGCGGTGAGTGGGGGCTCCTCTTTGTTGTGGTTCGTGGGCTTTTCATTGCATTGGTTTCTCTTCTTGCAGAGCTTGGGCTTTAGGCATGCGGGCTTCAGTAGTTGTGGCTCGTGGGCTCTAGAGCACAGGCTCAGTAGTTGTGGTGCATGGGCTTAGTTGCTCCGTGGCATGTGGGATCTTCCCAGACCAGGGCTCGAACCCATGTCCCCTGCATTGGCAGGTGGATTCTTTTTTTTTTTTTTTTGCGGTACGCAGGCCTCTCACCGCTGTGGCCTTTCCCGTTGTGGAGCACAGGCTCCAGATGTGCAGGCTCAGCGGCCATGGCTCATGGGCCCAGCCACTCCACAGCACGTGGGATCTTCCCGGACCGGGGCACGAACCCGTGTCCCCTGCATCGGCAGGCGGACTCTCAACCACTGCGCCACCAGGGAAGCCCCAGCAGGTGAATTCTTAACCACTGTGCCACCAGGGGAGTCCCCACACAGCTGTTTGTCACTACATAGATCCCTCTTTTAAAAAAAGAAAAAATTATATATTTATCTATTTCGGCTGAGCCAGGTCTTCATTGAGGCACGTGGGATCTTCGTTGCGGCATGTGTACTCTTAGTTGTGGCATGCAGACTTCTTCACTGTGGCATGTGAACTCTTAGTTGCAGCATGCATGCGGGATCTAGTTCTCCGACCAGGGATCAAACCCGGGCCCCCTGCATTGGGAGCCTGATGTCTTACCCACTGGACCACCAGGGAAGTCCCTATAGATATGTTTTTTTTTTTTTTTTGGAGATGTTGGGGGTAGGAGTTTATTAATTAATTTATTTATTTTTGCTGTGTTGCGTCTTCGTTTCTGTGCGAGGGCTTTCTCTAGTTGTGGCAAGCGGGGGCCACTCTTCATCGCGGTGCGCGGGCCTCTCACTATGGCGGCCTCTCTTGTTGCGGAGCACAGGCTCCAGACGCACAGGCTCAGTAGTTGTGGCTCACGGGCCTAGTTGCTCCGTGGCATGTGAGATCCTCCCAGACCAGGGCTCAAACCCGTGTCCCCTGCATTAACAGGCAGATTCTCAACCACTGTGCCACCAGGGAAGCCCTATAGATCCCTCTTGAAGCCATTGTTTTAAGGATGCTTGCAATCCCTGATGCGTCCAATATGTTGTTACTTTAACGTTAACTCTCCATGTGGGTTCGTTACAATTGTGTATTTTCTAATTGTTGGTTCAATAGTTTTATGTAAGTTCATTAGATCAAGCTTTGAGAAAACCTGAAAAACAACTGTGTAAACTAATTTTTAACTGCTGGAACTTCCTCTTACTCAGAGAGTTGTGCCTAAATCTCCCTTTTCTTTTTTTTTTGCAGTACGTGGGCTTCTCACAGTTGTGGCCTCTCCCGTTGCAGAGCACAGGCTCCGGATGCACAGGCTCAGCGGCCATGGCTCACGGGCCCAGCCGCTCCACGGCATGTGGGATCTTCCCGGACCAGGGCACGAACCCATGTCCCCTGCATTGGCAAGCAGACTCTCAACCACTGTGCCACGAGGGAAGCCCTAAATCTCCCATTTTGACTGTGAATTTTGCAGTTTCTCCTTTAATTTAATTTAATTCCTTTAACTCTTTTTTTGCTTACAGTATTTTGAGGCCAAGTTATTAGGTGCATACAGGTTTAGAAATTTTATAGAGCTCCCCAGACCCTTATCTGCAATTCCAAAATCCACAAGTCTTTGAATGTGTAATTTTGGCAACTCATTTTGCAGTAATGTAAGATCATTTCTGCATTAATTTTTGGGAAAATCTGACCTCAACTTTTGTACAGCACTTTGTAGTATTATTTATCCCACTTAGGATGACTCTTTCTACATTTCACTGTCGAACTATTAATATGTTTTGTGTGGGCTGAAGGCTCTGAGCACTGGGCATCCTTGCAGGGCCTCCCCCTGGTGAGTTCTCACGCGCTTCCGGAAGGATGACGGACTTCCCAAGTTTCCTGCCGGTGCTTGTGCCACATCTGGGCTCCTCCTGGAGGCTCTTCCGCCCCATAGGGCCTTCCCCAGCACGAGCCTGGCTGTGATCACAGACGCAGAGTCTCTGGTTCTGGGCGAGTGTGAGCAAGTGTGAGAGGTGCCTGGGTCCTGAGTAAGTGTGTGTGAAGCGAGGAGGGTGAATGCATTGCCAGAGACTCCATCACATTTGTGGCTCTCCTGAGGCAGATTACAGGAAGTCAGTTTTGGATCCCTGTTTAATTCTGAATTCTCCTTCAAACACTCACTCCAACTGAGGAACGTCTGTGGAAATGTTTACTTCTGGGAATGTTCCAGAAAAAAAACTTTTGAGTTAGGTTTAGGGTGGGGCCGGCAAACTCTGGCCTGCTGACCAAATCCAACCCCATGTAAATAAAGGGTTACTGGGAGGGGAAAAGGGGGTTATTGGAACACGGACACGTTCCTTCCTTTATTGCCTGAGGTGCTGTCATAGAAAACCCACGGAACTCAAAACCAAAAACATTTGCCAACTGGCTTTAGGCAGAAAAAGTTTGCATTAGTTTTCTCCTGATTCATACTTTTCAAAGACTTTCCCCAGAGATACAATTTTGTCTTGAATAAAAGTCATTTGCCTCACATTTCTCTCCTGATCCCAACTGACTTTACTGAGAGCAAAGGACCAGGATCTATCACTTCTGAATCTTACCATTTTTATGCCCTCAAATGTCTTTTCTCCAAAAATATCCTGTTTAGAAGTTGACTCCTTGGTTGTAAGCTGAGTCCTCCAGTCTACAATAAAATGGACAAAAAAATTACTAAAGTCTTAGAAAAAGAGAGTGACACTGAACAATAAAAAGAAAAAAAAAATTAAAAATGGACAAAGGGGCTTCCCTGGTGGCGCAGTGGTTGAGAGTCTGCCTGCCGATGCAGGGGACACGGGTTCATGCCCTGGTCCGGGAAGATCCCACATGCCGTGGAGCGGCTAGGTCCCTGAGCTATGGCTGCTGAGCCTGCGCATCCGGAGCCTGTGCTCCGCAACAGGAGAGGCCACAACGGTGAGAGGCCCGCGTACCACAAAAAAAAAAAAAAATGGACAAAGGATTTTAATACACATTTCTCCAAATAAGACATATAAATGGCCAATAAGCAGATGAAAAGATGTTCAACATCACTACTCAATAGGGAAATGTAAATCAAAACGACAATGAGATACCACTTCACACATAGTAGGATCAAGAAGACTCATACAGGGACTTTCCTGGTGGGTCAGTGGTTAAGAATCTGCCTGCCGATGCAGGGGACACAGGTTTGATCCCTGGTCCAGGAAGATCCCACATGCCGTGGAGCAACTAAGCCTGTGTGCCAAAACTACTGAGCCTGTGCTCTAGAGCCCACGAGCCGCAATTACTGAAGCCCATGCGCCTAGAGCCTGTGCTCAGCAACAACAGAAGCCACCTCAATAAGAAGCCCGAACACCGCAACGAAGAGTAGCCCCCGCTCGCTGCAACCAGAGAAAGCCCACATGCAGCAACAAAGACCCAATGCAGCCAAAACTAAATAAATAAATTAATTTATTAAAAAAAAAAAAAAGAAGACTCATACAGGGGACTTCCCTGGTGATCCAGTGGTTAAGACTCCATGCTTCCACTGCAGGGGGCGCGGATTTGATTCCATGCTGCACAGCATGGCCGAAAACAAAAACTCATACAAAAGAGTGTTGGCGAAGATGTGGAGAAAGTGGACCTCATGCACTGCTGGTGGGAATGTTAAACTGTGCAGCCACTGTGGAAAAGTTTGGCAGTTCCCCAAGAAGTTAAACATGGAGTTACAAGAGAAATGAAAACAGATGTCCACACAAAAACTTGTACTCAAATGTTCACAGCAGCATGATTCACAACAGCCAAAACGTAGAAACAACCCAAATGTCCATCAATTGGTGAACAGATAAACACTATGTGTGCATCCATACAATGGAATATTACTCAGCCATGAAAAGGAGAGAAGCACTGACACTCACTACAACATGGATGGACCTTGAGAACACGATGCTCGGTGAGAGAAGCCAGACACAAAAGGACACACAGAGTGTGATTCCATTGATGCAAAACATCCAGAACAGACTTCCCTAGTGGCGCAGGGTTTAAGATTCTGTCTGCCAACGCAGGGGACACGGGTTCAATCCCTGGTCCGGGAAGATCCCACATGCCACGGAGCAACTAAGCCCGTGCACCACAACTACTGAGCCCACATGCCACAACTACTGAGGCTGCGTGCTGCAACTACCGAAGCATGTGCGCCTAGAGCCTGTGCGCCACGACAAAAGAATCCACTGCAATGAGCAGCCCGTGCACCACAACGAAGAGTAGCCCCTGCTCGCCACAACTAGGGAAAGCCCATGCACAGCAACGAAGACCTAAGGCAACCAAAAATAATAATAATAAAATAAAATAAAAATAATTTTTAAAAATTAAAAAAAAAAAACCCATCCAGAACAGGCAAATCTATAGAGAGTGCACCTGTGGTTGTCAGGGGCTGGGGAAGGAGGGTGGGGACTGACTACTAATGGGCAGGGGGTCTTGTTTTGGGAGTGATGAGAATGTTCTGGAACTAGATAGTGGTGATGGCTGCACAACCCTGTGAATATACTATAAACAAGTGAATTGGACCGTTTAAAATGGTGACTTTTATGGTATGTGAATTATATCTCAATTTTAAAATGCTAGAAAGAAAGAAAGAAATGGCTGGACAAAGGTGAGTAAAACCAGGCAAACCCCATAGAGATATCTTAAAACATGGGCCCCAAAATGTGAAGGGAAATGTGGGGAAGCAGCATCCACCACTGGGTAGAGAACAGGGCTGGTGTTGACCTCCGAGGGGTCTGCTGATGTTGGCAACAAAGGGTAGAAATAACAAATACTTTTTTTTTTTTTTTTTAGTTTTTTTAATTTAGTTTTTTCTCCAGGTGCCCTGGACAATTTTTCCATCCAGAGTCCCTGACTCTTCTTGGTCCCACTGGGAGATCCTGGGAGGTCTGTGGGGCTTCCTGATCGCACAGGAAGATGCGGGATGGATAGTGTAGGAGGACGCAGCCCCGAACTACAAATCCTTCCCTCAGACTGGAGCCGATACTGCCGTCTCCAGGGCTCCAAGGATTGGCAAATCTGACCCTAGACCTGCCAACGGGGACCCAGACTTCTGTGGACGCAGGTGATGGTTTTCACGGGACCAAATCCCCCAGCCGCCCTCACCCTGCACGCCAAAGGGGATCAGGAAACAGGAGGTCGAGTCACTGCTGGGGAAACGTGGCCGCCTGGGGAGGGCTCTTCACTGAGGGCGGGTCCCGGTGCTGTTGCCACGGCTCCCGAATCCGGGGAACACTCCAGCAAGAGCAGAAGCCAAATAAACACACCTTGCCTTAAGGTGTGAATCTGCCTGTTCTCACCCAGGTGAGCTTGCCCCTGGACACGCGCACATGTCTGGCGACCTCTGGGATTGTTACGACTGGGGGGCTCCCGGCATCGAGGGGGCGGGGCCAGGGATGCCACTCCAAACCCCACAGCGCCCAGGACGGCCCCCATGTCAGCAGTGCCAGGGAGCCCTGGCCCAGGGAACGTGGAGGAGTGGACAGTGTTCCCAAGCAAGGCCAGGTCTCCAGCATCATTTCTCTGTGGACATTCCTTTGGGAAGGATTCGGCAACACCCACCCCTCGGGGTGAAGTCCACGGCCACATCCTCAAACACTCCGGAGTCCTACGCCACCCCACACGCCTACGGGGCTGGCTGAGGAGGGGAACCAGCACACGCAGCGCTGTTCTGAGCCCGCCCTCCAACCTGGCCGGCACTGTGGGCGCCTGGCGGTGATCACCTACCAGCTAGAGGTTGCAGAATCTCTCTGATGCAGGTCTGGAGGCTGAATGTGGCTCTCTGCTGTCAAACGGGCTCGTCCCACCTCACCCAGACCTGTCCCGGGTCCACAGAGGCCCAGGCCCACTGAGGGCACGGAGGGAACATCCAGTGAACAAGTCAACATCTCCCCACGGGGACCACGAGTTCTTGGGACGTTGGGGCCTCACAGCTCCTTCTGTGTCCCCACAGGACCTCAGGACATGCAGCAACTAGTCGGCTAAAAAGAGGTGTGAGAGAGACCCGTGTGTCAGGGCAGCCCCTCCAGCCCCTAAGAGGCCCAGGGACTTGAGGGAAACCGGAGCCCGGCCTTGGCTGGCTGCTGACTCCAGGCTGGGAAGGAGAGGTGTCCACCCTTGAGAAAATGGAAAGTCCTGGGACTTCCCTGGAGGTCCAGTGGTTAAGACTGCGCCTTCCAGTGCAGGGGGTGTGGGTTCGATACCTGGTTGGGGAGCTAAGATCCCACATGCCTCGCAGCCAAAAGACCAAAACATAAAAACAGAAGCAATAGTGTAACAAGTTCAATAAAGACTTTAAAAGTGGTCCACGTGAAAAGAATCTTAAAAAAAAAAAGAAAAGGGAAAGTCCTTCTGAAGGAGGAGGGATTTTCCATTCATTCACTTACAACCAAATCATCAGAAGCCCAGCAAACGTCCCATCTTCTACTGAGTCCCCCTCATGGAGAGGACAAGATCCTGAGCAGGCAGGGCTGGAGGGAGTTGGGGAGACAGAGGCCAGGTGACCCCACGCATCCCCAAGTCCTCCAGGCCACCACACTCCTACCCCCAGAGACCTGTGGCCGCATCACACCCAGGGCCCACCCACACAGCCCACGTAAGGGGTGACAATATCCCCGGTGTGCATGGGAGGAGACCAGCTCAGAGAGATTGGCTGTTTAAGGGGGCAAATGAACTTTTGAGTGGGGTTCTGGAGTTGCACCCTCAGAAAATGCCCTGCCCAACTCAGACATCAGCCAGCTGGGCGCCTGGGCCTCCATCTGGCCAGCCTCTGGCAGGACCATGCAGCATCCCCACTGAGGGAAGGTGCCCACACCAAGACCAGGGATTCACCTCACTCGGGGTGCCAGTCAGCAGCTGCCGTCTGGTGAGAACATCCGTACCACTGTTGCTGGGCTCAGCAGCAGCAATGCCAGAATGCTCCCCTTCATGGCCCTGTGGCCTCTCAGGGAATGGTTTCTGGGTCCTGTCTGAGCCATCAGTCACTAATGCCAGCCCCGAACAGGTCCCCATCCCAGGGGAAGAGGCTTAACATGAAAACCACCCCAAGTTTAAGATAGGGAACAGTCTTATTAATAATAAAAGACGCCACCCCTGAGCAATGATGACACACCAGATGGGCTGGGAACTCGGCACAGGTGAGTTCAGTAAATTTCATAATAATTCAGTGCCTGCTCAGGCTGCCATAACAGAATCCACAGACTGGGCACTAATCCCATCATGGGGCCCCACCCTCATGACTAATGACCTCCCAAAGGCCCCATCTCCCAACACCATCCCACGGAAGGGAGGGAGTAGGAGTCAGCATGAACTTGGGGGGACACATTCAGTCTACAGCAGATACTAAGCGTGGATATAAAAGGATGATAAAAGCAACAGAGTTCAAGGTGACCAAATACCGCACTGAAGTGTCAGAGAGTATAATGAACTTTATCAGGACCATGCAAGGGAACTATGCAGTGGTGCAAACAGGTGAGACTCCATATGGACATGGAAATTTGGCCATGTGGGAGAACAAAGGGAAGAGAGGGGGTGAACGTTCCCAGAACTGAAAGAACTCTGGACAGAGTGCTCCCTTGGGCCCCCCTCCTGGCTGCCACTGCACAGCCTCTTCTGTCTTAGGTCCTAAGTCTCTCTTTGCAATCAGGA